CCTCCCAGGCTACCTGTCCTTGCTCCCCCTCTCTGTAGCATCTCTTTTTCAGTTGGAGATTGTCCAAGAGCTCCTTTGTCGTGGTTTAGGCCAAATCGGCTACTGGGGACCTGAAGGACCCCAGATGGGACCGACAGATGCTCTCCTCTACCCCTCTTCAGAGAGAGAGGCAGAGGAGGAAAAAGAGACTTACGAGTTTAGAAGGAACTAAACTACTTTAATGAAATATTAATAATAAAATAAAATAAAAAAGAAATAATGAAATATATACAAAACCGTATCAAGCTCCCGAGATGACAATCACGACACCGGCTGGCACTGGGGCAGTCCCAGGCTGGACTCAGTGACGGACGGGAAATGGATTCTGGATCCGTATCCAGGATCGGGATCGCAGGCAGACGAACAGGGTCCCCCTCAGACGTTGGCCATTGCAGGAAGAGAGAGAGCTGACCCTTTGATCCCTCAGCCTTTACACTGAGCACAAGGCAGATGGGATGGAATACCCTCATTGGAGGTCTTATCACCCTGAGAGAGTGAACATTGTCTGCACAATATGCTGTTAATTTCAGTTGTTAGAGAGGCCCAGCTAAGAAGCGAAGTTACTGACCAAAATTGGTTCTGTTTTACCTCAAACCAGGACATCCTTGTTTATCCATGCAAGCCTCCTGGCGTTTTTGCCTGACTTCCTCTTTGTTGGGATGCTCCTGAGCTTGGAGGAGGCGATTCCTGACCATTAGCCAGCTTTCTTGGGCCCCTCATCCCTCCATGGCTTTATCCCACGATACTCTACCAAACAGATCCCTGCAGAGGCCGAAGTCTGCTCTCCTGAAGTCCAGGGTAGTGAGCTTGCTGGGCACCCTCCTTGCTGCCCTAAGGATCCTGAACTCCACCATCCCATGGTCACTGCAGCCAAGGCTGCCCTTGAGCTTCACATTCCCCACCATTCTCACCTCCTTGTTGGTGAGAACAAGGTCCAGCGTAGCACCTCTCCTCATTGGCTCCTCTGTTACTTGGAGGAGGAAGTTATCATCAAAGTATTCCAGGAACTTCCTGGATTGCTTACGCCCTGCTATGCTGTCTCTCCAATAGATATTGGGGTGGTTGAAGTCCTCCACTAGGACCAGGGCTTGTGAACATGAGGCTGCTCCTACCTGTCTATAGAGGTCCTCATCCATCTTCCTGGTCAGGTGGCCTGCAGCAGAACCCCACTCTAACGTCACCTGTCTGTACCCTCTCTTTAATCCCCACCCATAAGCTCTTGGTCCGCTCCTCATCCATCCCCAGGCAGAGCTCCATGCACTCCAGCTGGTCCTTGACACAGAGGGCGACACCCCCTCCTTGTTTTCCCTGCCTGCCCTCCGTGAAGAGCCTGTATCCTTCCATTCCAAAACTCCAGTCATAGGAGCCACCCCACCATGATGCCAAGAAGATCATACCCTGCAGGTGTGCGTATGTCTCTAACTCATCTTGTTTGTTCCCCTGCTACCTGTGTTTGCATAGAGGCATTTCAGTTGGGCCCCCACTCAAGCTACCTTACTGGCTGGAGCGGCTGGAATTCCTTTGTGCTGCACTCCAGGTGCTATCCTGCTGACCTGTGATCCTTCTCTGGGCATCTACTGATGGCATCTGCATCATACTGGTAGGAGTGGCACGGATTGAGGTTCCCCTCCCGCAGCAGCTTTAGTTTAAAGCGCCCTTCACCAGCTTGGCAAGCCTATGACCAAAGATGCTCTTCCCCTTCTCTGACAGATGGACCCCACCAGGCCCCAGTAGACCTTGTTTCTCAAAGTGAGTCCCATGGTCTAAGTAGCCAAACCCCTGGCTCTGGCACCAGTCCTGTAACCATTTGTTGATTTACCAGATTTGACTGGCCCTTTCAAGTCCCTTCCCTTTGACCGGGACGAGTGATGAAAAAACTACATGTACCCCACACTCCTTTACCACCGCTCCTAGGGCTCTCTAATCCTTGATACTCCTCAGGCTGCTCCTGGCTGTATCACTGCTGCCCACCACATGAAACACCACCACTGGATAATAGTCAGTGGACTGCACAAGGCTTTGTAACCTCTCAGTGACGTCCCTCATATGAGCCCCTGGTAAGCAGCACACCTTTCTAGAGAGTGCACCAGGCCAGGAAATGGGTGCCTCCATACCTTTCACAAGAGAGCTGCATTCTACTATCACCCATCGCTTTTTCTTAGTTGTATTGTTTGTTATACGGGGAGCAGATCGGGCTGCCTTACTCAGTTCCAGCACCAGTCCTGATGGAATGGGTCTTTTGTCCTCACTCTGGAGAGCCGTGAATCGGTTCTGCATGGGCACATCAGGTTTTGGGGGAAGTCTCTTGTTCCTGCTGGTCCTTGCTGTCCCAAGCTTCCATTCTTCCATGTTACTGCCCCTCCTCCCTTCTGTGTGTTCCATTACTTAAAGACTTTAACCCGTTCTACCACAGATGGAATGATTTCCCACCTTCCTGAATATACAACACAGATGCAGATGTTTGCATGGCCCTTACTACACATGTGCTCTGCCTGCCTTTAACCTCCCCTTTCTAAAGCATCTCTGCATGCTCCAGATTATGAACCTGTAACACTGGGTTGGTTGTTTTTCTTAATGACTGCCTTTAGCTCAGCTACTCTGTCCGACTGACCAACATCACTTTAGAGGACCTCCTGACTTCCCCAACGGCAGCCACTAATTACAACTGGCTGTTTCAAAGCCTCCTCTAATTCCATGTTTTACGGAGACCAGATTCCTCAGCCTTGCCCTGTCAGAAAGTTCGACCCTAAAATGGTGCCATTTTGTGAGTTTCCACAGGGGAGGAAACACAGCTCACTGTGCCTGCAGCACCTTAGCACTTGGGCATCACCTCAGCTGCCGTAGCAGCATTTCCCACAGCCCGTTTTCCCAAAGCATCAGTCCAGTGCTGACATGGCCACATACCTGCAAACCCCAATATTGGTGTTAGGCTGGGTTCTGTCACTAAGTACGCTGGTATGAGAAATGCCTCCCTTCAATTCTCGTGTCTCAAATTTTAGTTTATAGTAATGAAAACCAAGCATAGAGCACAGCAGAGCAGATAGCAGCCGCCCACGCTAAGGGAAAAGTGCTGCTGCCGCAACGCAGGGGCAGGGACATGACCACCGGTCAGGACACAAGGCTGACAGACCCTGCTGGCTCCACAGCAAGGCACGGTGTGGGGGGAAAAATGAACTGGAGAACTGCCCGCAGCCCCCCCCGTCCCCCGGTACGTGTCTGACGGTTGATTAGCAGACCCGTGGATAAAAGCTCCTGAGGGCGTACCGCTCGCGGGTGCAGAGGGCAGCCCCCTCGTCCAGAGCCCCCG